GGCTGTACCGGGGGAGCAGGCGGGGGAGCGGCGGTCAGGAAGAGAGGGGGGGGAGGGACCGGGAGACCTCGACTGGGGTACCTGACGTAGTAGGGGGTGGACTCCTCGAAACGGACGTCACGGGAGTCAAAGAACCGGTGAGAGGGAGGGTGGTAAAAGGTGAAGTCAGAGGAGTCCTCAGGGAAACCAAGGAAGACACAAGGAACGGCGCGAGGCGAGAGCTTGTCCGCGGAGGTGTCGCGGACAAGAGCCAAGCACCCCCAGACACGAAACCTCGACGCGACACCAGGGGACCCTGTCCAAAGACTGGTCGGTGAAGCCTCCGGCCGAGAGACGCGTGGCCAGAGGTTCAGCTGGTGCGCGGCGTACCTGACCGCGTATGGCCACAGGAAATGGGGGGCACGGGCGTGAGTCAAGGAGGTGCGGGCAATCTCCATGACCAGGCCTATGCGACGCTCAGCAACCCCATTCTGCTGTGGGGACTCCGGAAGCGTCCAGGACTGACGAATGCCCTGTTCGCGACAGAATCCAGCGAGAATGCCGGAGCGAAACTCGCCCCCGCGGTCGGAGTGGAGACAGCTGACACGACGACCACGAGTGTCCTGGGTGGTAAGCAACCACCTGATCAGCGTAGAAGTCACCTCAGACTTCCTCGCCAGGGGGAACACTGTGGTGTAGCGGGAGTAGTCGTCAACGACCACCAAAAAGAAACGCTCACGCTCAGGGCCAGGGCGAGGAGAGGGGCCCCAGACGTCCAAGTGCAGCGTCTCAAAAGGCTCGGTGGCCGGACGAAGGGAGGAGTGAGGGGTGGCGCGCAGCCTACCCTCGACGCAAGGACCGCACGGTGGTGCAAGGGACGGCGGCAGCGACGGCAAGACACGCGGGAGACCTAAGACAAGACGCTGACGAGACATAGCGCGAAGACGAGGAGGAGAAGGGTGCCCCAGCCGGTGGTGCCACAAAACGGTGGGGTGGGCAAGCGACCGACAGGAGCACGACGCAGCGACCGGACTAGACGGAGGAACCTGACAAGACACAGCTACCTGGGGGGACGGAGCAACCTGGTGAGACGCGAGGACTCGAACGGGGGGCAAAACAGGGGCCGGGGGCAGGAGGGGCGGCTGTGGCTGCGGCTGCGGCTGCTGCTGCCGCTGCTGCTGCGGCTGCTGCTGCTGCTGCAGTCGCTGCTGAGGGCGCGGGCCAGTGTGAAGAGTGTAGAGACCGGAGCCCGGCTCAGCAGCAAAAGTGCCGAGGGGCTGGTAAGAGTCCCCGTCAACACACACCGCAGTCTCTCCAGAAGGCTCAAACCACACACCCACGTGCTGACTCACGAGGGGTCGCACGCCCACCAAGTTCCGGGAGAACGAGGGGACGTGAAACCCAGTGAGAGACCCAGAAGGAGCAGCCGGACACGGCAAGGTGGTAGTGTGACGCGCGGTGACTGGTCCCGAAGTGGGATCAGCCAGCGCCACAGAAACAGGCGCAGGAAGAGGCGTAAGTGTCGTGCTGTCACGAAAGAAGCAGTGAGAGGCTCCAGAGTCCAGCGTGAACGACAGCGAACCGTCCTCTGAGGTAGCCGCTGGACTAGAGTCTACACAAGAACCTACACTAGCAATAGGCAACTGAGCAAGGCTAGCACCTAAGCTAACAACACCAGAGTAAGCAGAGTCAGAAACACTAGAGTCAACAACAGCATACATAGCATGGGGAGTACCAATCAGATCAACTAACTGCTCAGCAGACATGGCCCACAGAGCGGAGCCGTAGCGCTGAACAAGAGGCAGCCAGTCAGGGGCAGGAGCACCAACCCCGTAGACCAAACGAACCGTGTCAGTGAGCTGAGCAAAGCACTGACCAGGGGGGTGAAACCGGCCACAAGGGTGGCCACGACGAGTGCCTGTCAGAACCTGGTAGGTGCAGGGAGTGTAAGCAGCACCGCGCTGGGTCTGACGCAGCCCCGACCCTGGAGCCAGCTGCTGCCGCTGCTGCTGCTGAGGCTGCTGGGAGGAGAGGGGCTGCTGGTGCTGCAGAAGCTGCTGCTGACGCTGAGCCTGGTACCACGCCGCTGCTCCGCCAACCGGGGCAGGAAGTACAGGAGGCGACTGACGAACTCGGGCGTCGCCACCACCAGCAGGCGCAGTGGAGTCACCAGTCACTGCACGAGGCGCCTCTCCAGACCCTGAACCTCCACCGCCGCCAGGCGCAACGCCACCTCCACTACCTCCGCCTCCACCTCCACTACCACCACCAGAACCGCCTTTCTTGCCACTCCTACCGCGGGACCGCGACGCAGTCGTAACAGCAGCTGCAGTCGCGTCAGTAGCGGCAGTGGCAAGTGAGGCAGTAAAGGTGGGTAACTGCGGGACTGTGCACCCGTGGAAGAGTGGGGGGGGCACAGCACCAGAGGCAGCGGCTACCGAGCGAAGGTTGCTCTCGACGTCCTTGAGTGCAGACTCAAGGACCTCGACGGTGAGCTCACTAGGGTGCTTCAGCAGAAGCGCGTCGCGAACGGAGGCAAGGCGGTCAGGGAGGCTAGTGGCGATGAAATAGATAGTAATCGCCATAGGGGGAGGAAGCAGTGCAAGCTGTGCCTCAGTGCAAGCAGCGCGGTAACTAGCGTCGAGCGAGCGGAGGTGAGCGATCAAGTCAGCAGAGCGCTCAAAAGACGCCAGGTCAGGAAACAGGAACGGGAGGAACAGGCGGCCAAGAGAGACAGCAGCGGGAGTAGAGTAGCGGGCCTTAATCGCAGTGAGGTACGCAGCAGCGGTGCGAACCTGAGTGAAGTGAACCTCCTCAGACTCAGGGAGGAGGCTGCTGAGCGCGATGCAGGCCGCAGCGTCACGTGACGTCCAAGCCGTCTGGTCAGCTCGCTGAGTGGCAAAGCGGGCTCTAGCGGCGTCGTCAGGGGCAGGTCCTAAAGGCGTAGGGTCGGGGGGCGCAGGTAGGGCACCAGTAGCGTGCGCCCAGAGGGACTCGCCTGCCTGGACCTGACTCTCTAACAGACGGCGAGCACGAAGAAGCCAGACGGAAAAATCAAGAGGTCTACCGTCAGCGTCGAAACGAAGGACACGCTGAGTCGCCATAGCGAAAACGAACGCGAACGGAGAGGGAGGGGACAGCAGTAGATGAGAGGCAAATTAGGGTTCGGCGGTACTCTGGGACAGGGGAGGAGCGGACGCCACAGCGGGCGTGACAGCGGGAGGTAACAGGGGACTAAGCAGCGGAGAACGAGAACGGGCGCAGCGGCGGGCGATGGCAGCGCGTACGGCAGCAGGGGCCAGCAGCGCGCGCAGCGGGCGACGGCAGGGGGGGGGCGCAGCGGCGATGCGCGCAGCTGCGGGCGACGACGGCGGGGCCGCAGCGAGGCGCGCAGGGGGCGGGCGACGGCGGCAGGCGCGGCGGCGACGAGCGCGGTCGCGAGCGACAGCGGCGGGCGCTGCGGGACGGGCGACTCGACGGGGGGAGAGGGCAGGAGCGACGGGACAGGGGGAGGGCGACGTGACGGGGGGAAAGGGGCGGGTGCGACGGGACAGGGGGAAGGCGACGTGACGGGGGGAAAGGGGCGGGTGCGACGGGACAGGGGGAGGGCGACGTGACGGGGGGAAAGGGGCGGGTGCGACGGGACAGGGGGAAGGCGACGTGACGGGGGGAAAGGGGGCAGGTGCGACGGGACAGGGGGAAGGCGACACGACGGGGGGAAAGGGGGGGGGCGCGACGGGACAGGGGGAAGGCGACACGACGGGGGGAAGGCGCGGACGCGACGCGACGGGGGGAGCGCGACGCGACAGGGGGAAAGGGACGGGCGCGACTCGAGGGGGGGGGGAAGGCAACGCGAGGGGGGGGGGGGGGGGGCGGGCTACGCTACGAACGAGAGCGTGGCTCGGCGCTAGGCTCGGTAACAACGAGAAGGAGACGAACGAGAGCTAGGATCAGGCTCGGGTGGTACGAACGGAGAACGGCGGAACGGGATCCCACAGGATCCTAACCTAACTGATACCATGTCAGAATGAAGAATGGATGATGCATTGATGTTGGTTGGGGTACATATAGCTAACCCTAAGTTTTGTACCCCCTAAGACAAACCTCACTATAGGCTACAACATTTGACACATAGCTACAGTAACCGCGACTATTGCTATCCTCGACAGTTACCATGTTGCAGTCAGTTAACTGTCGCGCGGTTACCGGATCGTCAAGGGTCACGACCGTTGACTTCCTTGGACGGTTGACCTTCGGGTGACCCTCGATATTCCGCGTGCTCTATATGAGCTATTGCGTTACTGGTACAGAGGAACAACTTCGGGAATGCCTTTATAACCTTTTGGTTATTCCAACAACTATTAATGGAGATTTTTTTATTGAAACTTCTCATTCTTGGGCTGCCCGAACTTGACGTGGAAAAAATACTTATTTCTGATGCGAACATTGTACTTGAGGCCCTTTATACCAGATAAGGTAGATGAGGGTGGGTAGAACGGTCAAATGTAGCTATGGAGCTATGGATAATATTACTGCACTTTGCATGCACTTTACGCCACCGTGCGAACCGCGCAACGCGGAACCCTCCACCCCAGATCTCGTCGTCAGCATTGCCGTGGTCTCAACTTATAACGGGGAAATCTGTGGGGGTGATAGGGTAGTGGCGCGAATGTGGCTTCGGAAGTCACATCACATCCGTCCCGTCCTGCGGCAACGAGCTGCGCAATCTATAACGGCAAGATTTGTTATGGCCTCGTACGCAGGAAACTCGGAGTTACCAAGAAGCTCAAGCGGCAGTCACGACACGTGCGGGCGACGTGCCAGCGACGTGCATGGGGATACGGTAGGGTGCGGCCTGCCATGTTCGCGCCTTGTCATGTTCCTTGCGCTACACGCCACCCAGCATTAGTCGCAGCGGGGCTCGCTCTACCAGCTTGTATCACCTTTTTTTATACTCCGCGCATTTCGGGAAGAAAATGTCCAAAATGAAACTATCGATGTAACAAGAAGCTACAAACGTCATGGCGACAGCGTCAGGTGGTTCGAGTCACGACGATACCGTGATTAGCACGCACTCCTCGACCTTCCGCGATGCCTCGTCAGTCACCCTGGCGCTGCTCCCGCCGCACCCGCCGCCGAAACCGCCGCATACGCCGATATCGCCGCACGCTAAGGCTCTAGACGAAGAAGAGCGGCGCCGCGGCGGCGCTGGCAGCAAGGAACGCGCCGCGGAGTGTCTAGTGAGCATCCCCACGGCTGGAGGTCCCCCACCCGCTGCTTCCGGCGTGCGTCACGACGAGGCCGACCCCGCCTCCTGCCGCTATCCGCAACGCGACTCGGCATGGGCCGCGGCCCTTGCGGCGTGTATCGCGCTGTTCATCCTCCACGAGCTCGTCTCACCGCTCTTCGCGCTCCAATGGCCGTTCCTCTTCTCCCTCGCCTTCTTCCTCCTTTGCGGCGTCTCCGCATTCGTCCTCTCCCTGTCCCCTTCCTGCTTCGCGCTCCGCCGACTTTCCAGTAACTTCACTCCTCGCGCCGTCACTGTGTCGTGCGTCGTCAGCACCATCATACTTTTCTGCTGTTGGGGGGTTGGGGTATCCTATGTGTTCTTTACATACGACCCTGCGCCGATTACATACCTAGTCTACTCCGCTGAGTCGGCCGTATGCATCTTACTGCTGCTGCTCACCATCCTCCCCCTCCTCACCTTGCACCAGCACCTCGATACTGTCTCATCCATTATCCGTCGTGCTATCGGGCTGTCACTTTCATTAGATACTAATGTCCTCACAACAATCATGTTGCAAGGGGTGCTATCTGTCGTAATTCTCACACCCATCATGCAAGCGAGCTCTGACTTTATCAGCTGCTTTAGCAGCTGGTCCTTAGGCCTCACGTGTTACGTGGACGGCAGGCTGGTTACACCAACCCGTTACACCTCAATTTTCTCCGTCGTCATGGTTTTCATCGCCATCTGGACTCTGCTCGCTGTAGTCACATCCGCTCTATTGACCATCTCAGCACGGTTTGCGCTTGTGTGCGCTGCTGCTGACGTGTCTATGGGTAGTGGCAACGGCAGAGGGGATGATGGTGTAACATTTATTGCTCCTCATGGTGCTAGTCCTGCCGATGGTGCTGATGGTGCTGATGGTGCTGATGGTGCTGATGGTGCTGATGGTGCTGTTGGTGCTGATGGTGCTGTTGGTGCTGATGGTGCTGTTGGTGCTGATGGTGCTGGTGCTGCCAATGGCGCTGGTGTTGTTGCATCTAACTCTGACGGTGCTGGGAAGCAGTATGGACTCTGGCAGAGGATAGTGCACGTGGCCAAGCATGACAGGTGCGTGTGTGACTGTGTGCATGAGTTTGTGAGCGTGTGAGAGAGTGTGGAAGAGAGTCTTTGTGCCCACGTGTGTATTCCTCCACTACTCTCGCTCCAATTAGGTATTTCATCACCTTTCTTTTTCCTTCCCTCCACCGTTCCTCCACAGTGCGGTCATGTGTGCATCGGTCGGCACTGCCAGTGCCATCAGCTGTGCTGGCACCGCAACTCTCATCCTTGCAGCGTTCGCCAGCCTGTCTGCATACAGCTCTCTAGGTGCAGGCATGGCTGCTGCGCTGGCCTCGGGTCTCGTTGCCTGGATTGCGGCTCTTGCCCTGGGCTTCCTCTACTGGTGCGTGCCATGGCTGCATGTTGATGGTGCATGCTGATGGTGCATGTTGATGGTGCATGCTGATGGTGCATGCTGATGGTGCATGCTGATGGTGCGTGCTGATGGTGCGTGCTGATGGTGCGTGCTGATGGTGCGTGCTGATGGTGCATGCATGGGTGCTGATGGTGAATGCCATGCATGCAAGTTGATGGCGTGTGCAAGGCACGCCATTGCCCCATTCAATCCCGTTATTCCTTGCCTTGCCTGAGTGCAACCATACGCAACTTACCCAACCCTCCACCCTCCCCCCTCGTGGCTTCTCCCATCATCCCTCAAGCACCCCCCTAACAATCCTGCCCCCGTTTTTTTTGTTCAATACCCACCTCATGATGCCACGTTTTGTTTGTTCAATACCCACCTCATGATGCTACGTTTTGTTCGTTCAATACCCACCTCATGATGCCACGTTTTGTTCGTTCAATACCCACTCATGATGCCACGTTTTGTTCGTTCAATACCCACCTCATGATGCCACGTTTTGTTTGTTCAATACCCACCTCATGAGGCCACGTTTTGTTTGTTCAATACCCACCTCATGATGCCACGTTTTGTTTGTTCAATACCCACCTCATGATGCCACGTTTTTTTTTTCAATACCCACCTCATGATGCCACGTTTTGTTTGTTCAATACCCACCTCATGATGCCACGTTTTGTTTGTTCAGTACCCACCTCATGATGTCACTCCCCTCCTCCGCAGCCTGGTCCTCCCCATCAGTGCTACCGCCAAACTCAGCTTCCTTCCCTCCCTGCACATCGCTCTCCGAACTCTCTCACAAGCAATCTCACCGTTCCTGCTCCTCCTGGCTGTGTCACTAGCGCTACTGCTTCCAGTAGCCGTACTAACGATTCTGGTGGTCGGCTTTGGTGGGGTAAGCTTTCATTACGCCGTAATAGATTGTCATTACAAGTGTTTCCTTGCTTATTGTGCTGTGGTGCTGGTCCGTAGTATACTAATTTATAGATTTGCCCTTTTCTGCGTTTTTCCGTTGCAGTCGGCTTTGGCGTATGTGGCTGTCGTTGTTCTCTCCCCTCTGCTCCATTACATAATGGGACCGTGGAACTTACTTGCAGTGTTTGTAGAAGCAACCATACTGTGCTTTGCCATTGGGGGGTTTTCTGCCATTGTGCTCACCCTTGTACTCATCATTGGTGTCTCCACTGTGTTTTGTTGGGATTTTAGCTCCCAGGCACAAACACTCTCAAGTGGACAAAGTGAGTTTCGGGCTTGCTTGATGCCTTAACCGCAAATACCGATAGCCATTGGTTTTGGAGACAAGATTGTGGTTGAATGTGGTGTAGTAGATCCTTATTGAGTTTGGGAGAAAAGAAAATAACTCCATTTGGAAGGCGAAACCCCACTAATATGTTATTCCGCTACTATCCCACGCGCATGGAGGCACTGTACACTGTACTTCGCCTGCACTTTTCACCATCGCGCAAACCACGCAACTCCACCCGTCGCAAATCTCGTTGGCTTAGTGCCGGCGACGTGCATGGTGGGGGACAGAGTGAGGCCGGCGGCTATGCAGAAGCCCCTCATGTTCCTTGCACTGCACGTTACTGTCAAATGTTGTAGCCTATAGTGAGGTTTGTCTTAGGGGGTACAAAACTTAGGGTTAGCTATATGTACCCCAACCAACATCAATGCACCATCCATTCTTCATTCTGACATGGTATCAGAGCCTCCCCCTTCGGTAGCCCCCCCTGTACAGCCTCCCTCCCCACAGTCTTCCTCACCGCCTCCTGTAGGTGCTCCCTCTCGGGAGGTTGGTCCTACGACTGTCCCTGTACAGGTCTCTGGTTCTGGGGGTGCTGGAGTTGGAGCTGAGCCGCGGGTTGCAGAGGACTCTTCTCCTCCGGGGGCTGGTACTGGTCGTGCGGAGTCTGGGGGTGCTGGTGCTGCGTCTGGGGGTGAGGGTGTTCCTTCGGTTTCTGGAGAGCCTGGGTCTGGAGCTGGTGTTGGTGCTGCCTCTGGGGGTGGTGTGCTTGGTGCTTCGGAGGTCGACTCTGGGGCTGCCGCTGCCCCGGACACTACTCCTTCCCCCCACCCCTACCCGACCAGGTTCCAGGCTCGTGTTCGTCGTGCTCGTGAGGAGCAGCTGGAGTTGGAGAGAGAGGAGAGAGAGTTGCAGCGGCTCGAGGAGCAGGAGCGACAGCAGCAGGAGCAGCAGCAGGAGCAGCAGCAGGGGCAGCAGCCGCTGGAGCAGCAGCAGCCGCAGCAGCAGCAGCTGCCGTCTCCTCCTCCTGTCTCGGGTCTTCGGACCCTTGGTCTCCCCTCTCCTTCCTCCTCCCCCTCCTCCCCCTCTCCTCCCGTCTCTGGTCCTCCGCTTCCTCCTCCTGACCCCTCTCCCGCTGTTTTCCCTCGTTCTCAGTCTTCGTTGTCCCCTCCTCCTTCTCAGACTTGGGCCTCTCGTCGCTCCCCTCGTGCTCGTCCCTCGTCTCCTGTTCCCTTCACTGACCTTCGTACTGCCTTACTTCGTTCTAGTCCACCTCGTCCGTCTCCGTCTGTGCTTCCGTCTCCTCCTGAGTCGGCTCTCACTGCGTCGCTCCCTACTCCTGTCACTGACTACTACCGCACGTACCGTCCTCTTCTCTCTCGTGTTCTCGCCTCACTTGTTACTCACCCTCGTGCCTCTGTGTCCTCTGTGTCCGCTCTTACTGCCGCAGTCACTGAGTTTGCCTCTACCCGCCGCCTTGACTTCGCCACCGCTCTTGTGGCTGCTCCTCCTTCCAGTCCTCTGGCCGTCGGGGGTGTGTCTGCCCTTGGCAGTGACGCCCTAGAGGACAGGCAGTTTGAGCTAGAGTTCCTGGCGGCCGCTTCCCCTCATCTCTGTGCCATGCTCCTCGCCCCTGAGGGTGACCCCGACGCCCTTGACATTCCGACTCCTCGCACTTACGCTGAGGCAGTGTCAGGGCCTTGGGCCTCTCAGTGGAGAGCTACCATGGACGCAGAGATGGCCTCCTACAGATCCACAGGCACCTACGTCGATGAGGTTCCCCCTCCGGGGGCGAACGTAGTCGACGGCATGTGGATCTACAGGGTGAAGCGGCCACCGGGATCTCCTCCGGTCTTCAAGGCGCGCTACGTGGCTAGAGGTTTCAGTCAGCGCGAGGGAGTACTTCTTTCATTCAGACCTTCGCGCCCACCCCGAAGATGACCACTCTTCGGGTGTTACTACACGTAGCAGCACAGAGAGACTACGAGTTACACTCTCTCGACTTCTCTACTGCTTTCCTTCAGGGCAGTCTTCACGAGGAGGTCTGGTTGCGTCGTCCCTCTGCCTTCACTGGCTCTTTCCCTCCTGGGACCCAGTGGAGGCTGAGGCGACCGGTTTACGGTCTTCGTCAGGCTCCTCGTGAGTGGCACGACACCCTGCGTTCTACCCTGTCTGACCTTGGGTTCCAGCCGTCTTCTGCTGACCCGTCGCTGTTCGTTCGTCGTGGCACCACACCTTTCTTTGTTCTGGTCTACGTTGACGACCTTGTTTTCGCCACCCCTGACAGGGTTGCTTTGGCACACGTGAAGTCCGAACTGCAGAAGAGACACACCTGCACTGATCTTGGTGAGCTGCGCCACTACCTTGGCCTGCAGATCACCAGGGACAGAGCTGCTCGCACCATTACACTTTCACAGTCGCACATGGTGCAGCAGGTCCTTCAGCGGTTCGGGCTTCAGCACTCCACAGTACAGCGCACACCTCTTGCTGTTGACCACAGACTCACTGGACCCTTTCCTGACGAGCCGTTCGAGCCTAGTGGTCCCTACGCAGAGCTTGTGGGTTGCCTCATGTACCTGATGACTTGTACTCGCCCGGACCTCGCCTTCCCTCTCAGCGTTCTTGCGCGCTTTGTTGCGCCAGGGAGACACCGTCCTGTTCACTGGACAGCAGCTGTGAGGGTGGCGAAGTACCTAGCGACGACGTCAGGCGTGGGGCTAGTTCTTGGAGGGCAGCAGTCTGTCGTACTTACTGGTCACTGTGACTCCTCTTACGCTGACGACGCTGAGACTCACAGGTCTACTCAGGGGTACTGTTTCAGCCTGGGTTCTGGAGCTGTTTCCTGGCGGTCCACGCGCTCCTCTTCGGTCTCGACCTCTACAGCTGAGGCTGAGATCTACGCTGGTGCCATGGCGGCACAGGAGCTGCGTTGGTTGACCTTCTTGCTCACCGACCTTGGTGAGCGGCCGAGCTCTGCACCGACCTTGTTCACTGACAACAAGGCGTCTATTCTCCTTTGTCGAGAGCCACGACTGGAGAGCAGAGTGAAGCACATTCACGTCAGGTACTTTCTTCTGCGAGAGTTGCAGAGGCGTGGACAGGCTCGCTTTGAGTTTGTGGAGTCCGAGGCCAACACTGCAGACATCTTCACCAAGGCGCTTCCGCCTTGTGACCACCAGAGGTGCTGTGTGCAGTTAGGCCTTGTTGACACTGGTTCTCGTGTTGCTTAGACTTGAGTGTACTGTTTACTTTGCTTTCTATATATCTCTGTTACTTCTTGGACTGGCCTTGTGGCCACTGTTGTTTGTGCTCAGACTGTGTGGTGACGTTGTGATCCACCCTGAGCTTTGTTTCTTGGACTGGTCTTGTGACCGTACTCGTTTGGTTCTGCTAGACACCCCTCACTTAGGCTATGGGGGTGTGTCAAATGTTGTAGCCTATAGTGAGGTTTGTCTTAGGGGGTACAAAACTTAGGGTTAGCTATATGTACCCCAACCAACATCAATGCACCATCCATTCTTCATTCTGTCAGTTACGCACCATAGTATCAGCGGACTAACTTTACTGGTAATATTCATAGCCTTATTTGACTTTAGGCATTCTGGGAAGACGCACAACACAATAGAAGCAAGCTAACACATAAAAGTAGAAGAAAATAAATAAGCATCATGGCGACAGTGACATGTGGTTCCGGTCACGAAGACACCATCAGCACTCACGCCATCTCGACCTTTCCCGAAGCCTCGTCAGTCACCCTGGCTCTGCTCCCGCCGCACCCGCCGCACCCGCCGAAACCGCCGAGCGCGGAGCCCTTAGACGAGGAGGAGTGGCGCCGCCACGGCGCTAGCAGCAAGGAACGCTCCGCGGAGGATAGTGCACGTGGCCAAGCATGACAGGTGCATGTGTGACTGTGTGCACGTGGCCAAGCATGCTCACAATGCACTCCGCGGAGCGTTCCTTGCTGCTAGCGCCGTGGCGGCGCCGCTCCTCCTCGTCTAAGGGCTCCGCGCTCGGCGGTTTCGGCGGGTGCGGCGGGTGCGGTGGGAGCAGAGCCAGGGTGACTGACGAGGCTTCGGGAAAGGTCGAGATGGCGTGAGTGCTGATGGTGTCTTCGTGACCGGAACCACATGTCACTGTCGCCATGATGCTTATTTCTTTCTTCTACTTTTATGTGTTAGCTTGCTTCTATTGTGTTGTGCGTCTTCCAGAATGCCTAAAGTCAAATAAGGCTATGAATATACCAGTAAAGTTAGTCCGCTGATACTATGGTGCGTAACGTGCAGTGCAAGGAACATGAGGGGCTTCTGCATAGCCGCCGGCCTCACTCTGTCCCCACCATGCACGTCGCCGGCACGTGCCGCTCGTGCATGTGTGCATCGGTCGGCACTGCCAGTGCCATCAGCTGTGCTGGCACCGCAACTCTCAGGGTGCATCCCTGAGTTGGTGGCAAGGCAACTGTTGGTGGCAAGCGCATTTTCCGGCCCACTGAATTTTTGGGTACACTTGCCACCAACTCGATGTGAACAGTTGCCCTGCCACGAACCAGGGATGCACCCTCATCCTTGCAGCGTTCGCCAGCCTGTCAGCATACAGCTCTCTAGGTGCAGGCATGGCTGCTGCACTGGCCTCGGGTCTGGTTGCCTGGATTGCAGCTCTTGCCCTGGGTTTCCTCTACTGGTGCGTGCCATGGCTGCATGTTGATGGTGCATTCCGTGCATGTTGATGGTGCATGCTGATGGTGCATGCTGATGGTGCATGCCACACGTGCCTGCAATTGGTGGTTCCATTGCCTATGACAGATTATAATACCGCTGCTGCACCAACCTCACCCATGAATTGCCTTGCTCTGCCTGAGTGGCTTCGCATTGTTGCACACCCAACTCCTCCCTTGGTGCTTCTCTCCCCCTCATCCCTTAATCAACGCCCAAACCATCCAGTCTTCACCATTCTTTCCATTCAAATCCCCACTTCGTCATGCCACTCCCCTCCTCCGCAGTCTGGTTCTCCCCAACGCTGCTACTGCC